TGTAACGTTCTGGACGCATCCCAGAAGCGAAGGCACGCTATAATTATGTTTTGAGTCAATTTTTTACACGCCACACTTCCAAAGCAAGTCAGATCTACAGTTCAGATGGTGTCAGACAAGAAGTCAAACGCAAAAGCAGCGTAAAACAAACGGAAACGTTAAAAATAAAAGTAGCGTGCAGTATGTAATTTCCTGTGAAACCCTAGTTAGCTGATGTAAACAGAACAGAAAATAAACCACAACCTTTTTGGATGCTGTCTTTCTCTTTGCTTTTAATTATGTGGACTTCTGAAATCATACGTGGTGTTGCAGTTCCCCCGTGATTTTTTGAGCTCACGGGATCAGCTGTGTGGAACGCTTTTGCTCCCGTTTTGCGTCAGAATCACTCCCAGTTGGAAGGGGGCTTACGGAGTAAAAGGCCTCTAGTTTATTACATGCCGCTTTCGCATCTGGTGGAAAGAAGGAGTTGTATAGCACTTAAAGTCTCTTTCCGAAGTATTTCTCTTATCCAATGGCACCGTATAGTGGCTGACAGGCATATCACACAAATAGTCTCTCGCTCCGTTCTTTTAAGATGGCAACTTCACATTCCTAGTTCATTAATGTGCTTCTGTGGCCGACAAACAGAGCTAAAACATGTTGTTTTACAAGTGTTATTCTCATGTCATGTTGTATTTTCAATGGTCTCATCATACTTAAATTATTGTGTGGAGATTTGGGGAAACACAAATGTACTTTACAGCCACTTTACATATTACACAAAAAGAGCAGTAAGGATAACTCAGGGTGGGACATATGGAACGCACAAATTCATTGTTTTTAAATTCAAACATACTAAAATGAACAATGATACAACAATGAGGAAAATGTGCACAGCTGTATGTGGAGTGACTCTGTGGAACAGTATGGATGAGGACTTGAAACGCTGTATGAATATTAGGCATTTAAAAAAATAGACAAAAAATCTCTATTGCAAGGGTACATGGATGTAACCATGTCTTAAGAAGACAGTGAAAATATATTATCAAATTGCTGGGTTATGTGACAGTTGGAGAACAAATTATAAAGGGCAAGGGGAAATTTTATTACTACTAATTTTGTTTATTTTTTCAAATTTATTACTTAACCTTATCATTCAATATGTTTTTATTTATGTTTCACATAAATACATAAATTTTTTTTACTATACATATATATTTTTTTCATTTGTTTAGCACATTAGTTCACTGTATTATGTTAATGTCTACAATGACCTTATTATTACTATTTTTATATATTATTATTACTATTATTATTATTATTACTATTATTATTATATAAGAAGAATTATTATTATTATTATTGTTATTATTATTATTATTATTTTATAACAAGAAGAAGAAGAAGAAGAATTATTATTATTATTATTATTATTATTGTTATGTTCGAAATAAAGATTTCATTCATTCGTTTATTCATTCATTCATTCACATTTATATTGTCCATCAACTCTGCATCAGTTGAGGTACTCCTTAACCTTGAAGCATGTAAGCGGCAGTCTAACTCTATCGGTTATTTCTGGTCGGCGCTCAGTTTCCTGTTGCACGAAGCTCTGTGGGGCGGGGGGCATGCTCAACAAAAACAAACAAGATGTATTGCTCACATTATATCACAGTGCATGATAAGACACTGCACTTTTACGGATTTCTGAAAAACCATACATCATTCCTGAAAGGGAAAAACTCCGGAAAAATACTTCAAAGCTACTTTCAAGATTTGACCAAAACTCAAGAAAAACTTTTTAAAATGTATTGTTTATAGAATGTTTTAGCTCTAATAGACAAATGTTAAAGCTGAGAAAAATATCCATAAATGGACATAATCAGTGCATTACAAGTTTGCATTGTGTTCTTGTTTATTTTGCTTGTTACATTTTTGTATAGTTCAAGCAGTAACATGCCTGGTCGTGAGTCTTTACTATTGAAATTTTGTGGGTCAGAAACCAAAAAGTTGTTGAGTCAGTGCTGTAGAGCCACGGGTTGCACACTGTGTTAACCTTGCTTAAGTAAAAGGGGAAACCCTGAAATTTAAAATAATGAAATCCACACCTCAATGTGTGATTTAGCTCGTAACAGGAAAGCAGTCCTCTAAAACTGAGAACCATTCAACAACAAAAGCGTTTCTATTTGATGGTTTTGCTAATTAAGCTCACACACCTGCTTCTTTTCAGCTTTTCCACAAACTCACAGCAACACAGAAGAGCCAGCAGCTGATCGGGTCAAGCCTGTGTTCACCTACGAATGCTAATGCTGGCCTGCAGGCAGAGCCAGGTGGGAGGATTTTATAAAATGAGATTAGGATCGCTACATTTCCTCACAAACAGATTGTTTGGGATGAGAAACATTATAGCTCCAACTGATCCGAACAAACACTTTGGTTCTGCTTCATTCCGATATGTGTTTGGGCTGCTTTCAGCTGCTTTTGGGTTTAGGAATCTGGACAAGTGGCGAGTCCATCACAGGAACACACACAAAGCCAAATATGCATTCACATAGGACAACTTAAGCTAACATGGATGTTTTTGGTTTCTATGTTGAGACTCATTGCAGAAAGGCCCAGGCTAGGTGTTGAACATGCAACTTCAACTGGTGCAAGGCTATCCAGCTGCGCCGCTGTGAAGCCCCTCGATCAGGCACACGGTGCTGTGAAAACATAGTTACAGATTTCTTATTTTTGCATAAGATCCAGGACTCCCTCCAAAAGCGATTTTATCTTGAGGGATTTCCTGGTAAAATTAAGGCTAAGTCATACTTTAATGTGTCAGATCAGAGAACAAATTTCCATATCAGAGGAAGAAACTTGAAAAAACAAGTCACTTCTTAAGAGGAAAAGCTCGTTTAAAAGTCAAGTTGCAATACAACCCACTCATGTTTGTTATAAAAAATTCAGGGTCACCAGAATTATTTCATAAAATGTTAATTTACTCTGATCAGAAACAAACCCGTTGTACTAGATATGCCAGTGATAGCCTAGAAATCTAGAGAGAAAGCAAAATTATTTTGCATTGCAGGTCGGTCTAGCCATTCTCTATAAGAGCCTCAGCAGGCCTACCATTGGCCTGATCGATCTTGTGCCTTGCCAATCACAGCCCTCCATTGGTTTGGTGGGTGGGATGATGCAATGGAGTGGAACAACAAAGATGGCTGCAGCTCATTTGGGCTTTTGTTTGAGTCAAGAGCAGATAGAGGTACTCAAGTTTATTTAGAAAAAGGATGCATCTGCAGCTTCAGCGGTGTATGGAGGACTGCCTTGTTGACTGACATGCGTAACAGTGAATAGGTCACGTTGTTCGTTGTTCAATAGCGTGCAGAGATGGTTCGAAAGTAATCGTAGATTCCGCCTCACTACTGAGCTTTGTTTATGAGTTGTGGCCAGACTAGATATTCACATGCAGCTTGGCAGACTATGTGATACAAAATCAATGGCAAAGCGTGCAAAATTCTTGCAAAACATCTATGATTCCCAGAGCACTAAAGTCGTCATTTGCATATTTTCACTGTGTGGGCGTCGGAACGAGCTCCCGCACCGTAAGAACAAACATCCCAGCTCTAAAACCGTTCTTTCATCCACGTACGTCACACGTCATGTGATCAGGAAGCAGAAAATCCATGTGTTAGGAGATGGTTTTGGGCCACTGCTGTTAAAAAAAAGTGAGGCACGAACCGGAAAAGCTTCTGCCGATCGCAATTCAACTACGGTTTATGAAAGAATGGATAACGCTCGAAACGCGCAGATTCTTCCTGATGTAAGAGGTGAGTCTAATCTTTGTTTTGGTTGTTTTGGCGTTGACATCATCCTAACGCGCAACATTCTGTGACTCTTAACAAAACTGTGAAAACACTGAAAAACGCTGGCAGCAAAGGGCTTTTCTGATCAGGAAACAGCTGGCAATATCTAGGGATGCACCGATCAGGTTTTTTGCTGCCGATCACCGATACCGATATCAAAGAATGCTGATCATCGATACTGATCACGTGGATTGGCCAGAAATTTTCTACAACATTATAATGAGTGCTACAAACTACATAATCTGGGAATAAAGGAAATGTAACCTAATCTAAAATGGTCTGTATTAAGGTTGTCACCAGTGGCGGAGCTTTATATGTGCAACATGTGCGGCCGAACAGGGCGGCAGTCTGGAGGGGGCGGCATTTAATTTATTTTATTTTTTATTTATTTATTTATTTATTTAATTTTTTTCTTCCATCAACCGATACATCAACAAAACATAGAAATCACATGTTCTTCATAATAATAATAGTGATGAGTGATGATAATAATAATATTTCTGTAATAAAAGCACAACAAAGTCATTGTTTGCGTTTATATTGGGATTTTATTGCGCCCCCTTGTGTCCGCCGCGCCTCTGTAGTGCGCTCTATAGCGCCCTTCTTCAGGTGGGGGGCGGAGGGATCTCGGAGAGTGATGATGGAGGGATACAGGTACCGTTTCACATATCACCGCTCACAAACATAATGGAGAAGAAGCGGTCCAAGCCATCTGGTGCCCAATTTCGGAAAAAAAGAAAAGAAGAGGAGGAGAAACGAGGAAAAGATGCAGGTATGCATCTCTTTATTATTTAGTTGGTATTTTTCCCGCCTGTCCCCCAACTTATTGATTAACTAACCTCTCTAATCTGTACGTTTTGCATGGTGCTATGATGATCCCTTCAAATGTCTTTTGCTAGCTTCTTACGTTGCATGTATTTAGAACTACTTCCAACCGCTAGCTTTTTCTTTGTCAAATGAGCTTTTATGAAAAGCTAAGATTGGGAAAACCGAAAGGCTGATAACCAAACGCTATCAAATTAAAATGAGTCTTTGAGAATTTTGCTGAAATACATTGATGGCGGGCGGCAGGTCTCGCGCATTTTGCCTTTCTTTTTGGACTCGGGAAATGAGCTGCGTATTATTTACCCCACGAAAAACGGAGCGGCAGCGGGCCACTGGAGGTGCCCTGCTAGTAAGATCCCGTGTATACTGTAAACTGCCATAACATAAAAACTATAATAGCTAGAGCGGTCTTTTTTTAGCTGAAAGTTGAGACTGTCTCGCCTTTCAGCACTGTACAAGTCGATGATGTCATCGTGTTGCGTTAAGTGTGCTGCACAGCACACCGCGGCTATGTTAACTCACAGTGACCTTGAAGCAGCGTGGGAGAGTTGAAGAATTTAACCAGTTAAAATGGATTCATGGATATTTAATCAATAGTTGTGGCTCCTCTGGTCATTTAGTTCTTTGTGTGCCGGAGACATTTGCTGAATAAGGAAATAAAAACTTAAAATGACAAAAAAAATTAGGGGAAAACACTTGTTTTGTGTCTTATTAATTATTAATGATTCATTGATTGTTGGTATTTTAACTTTTGGTAAAGGAAAACACACAATTTCCAGGCAGCCCCAGTCTGGAGAAGTGATGGTGACATCAGCCGTTAAAAATAAATAATACTCTGAGGTTTTTATGAATAATTTGTACTTTTACTTGAGTATTTCTCTAACACCAGTACTTTTACTTGTAAATGAGTAATATTTTAGCAATGTAACAGTACTTGTACTTGAGTACAGATTTTCAGAATTCTTTCCACCACTGCTGAAAACTGTAAATGCTCATTGTAACATGTTAATTAAAATGCTTAAGCAACAGACGTGACATGAAGATTGTATTGTTTATTTTATGCATCAGGAGTCCTACACAGATAGTTTGGGATGACATCAGCTGACACTGAGGAACAGCCATCTACCTCCACTGCTCATACCAGTAGGCCAGTATTTGAACTCGAGGAGGGACAGTCTGCTGGCACCACATCTCCCCAGGAAGATACTTTAGGTGGGTTTTGCACACGTGTGTGTGTCCAGTAAACATTTAGCTATAGACATTTAAATAGTATTTTCACAGAATATGGGAATTGTTCCATATAGCAATGTGGTGAGTTATGCTTCCATTTTCTGTCAATAGAGAGACCTACCAGTATATGTGAACTTGATGAGGGACAGCCAGCTGCCACGTCTCCCCAACAAGATATGTCAGGTAAGTTTTGCACAAGTGTGTGTGTGTGTGTGTGTGTGTGTGTGTGTGTGTGTGTGTGTGTGTGTGTGTGTGTGTGTGTGTGTGTGTGTGTGTGTGTGTGTGTGTGTCCTGCAAACATTATAGAAATTTGAATGTCACATATTGTATTTTAATAGAATATGTGAAATGGTCCACATAGCAATGTGTTGAGTTACGCTTCTGTTTTCTGTCAATAGAGAAGCCTGAACGATCAACCAATGAGTCCAATTGAAGGTGATGATGAGCCTCTTTCTTCAGACCCAGCCAAGTGGCCATCACCAATTACCGACAGCATACGCACAGAGCTAGTTCGAAGAGGACCTACCAAGGTGCCAACTACTTTCATATTTCCCAGGAATGAAGGCGATGGCAGATGTTGTCATCATCACTATTTCAGTAGAACTTTGACAAGTGGAGAGAAGGTGGCCAGGAGCTGGATGTTGTATTCGGTTAGCAAACGTTGTTATATATAATACAATCCACGCAATTTGAAACAAAGTTGTAGGTGTAATTTTTTTTCTTGTGTGTGTTTGTGTGTGTGTGTGTGTGTGTGGGGGGGGGGGGGGCAGTCACGGGGGATCTCGCACAGGGCGCCATTTAGACCAGCTCCGCCTCTGGTTGTCACGGTGTGAAAATTTAACCTCGTCACGGTTATTTTGGTTATTGTGACCAAAATTACCAAGGTTTTCGGTATTATCGCGGTATATTTTTTTTAAACGTGCTACATTTTCACACAATTAAATAAACCCTATATGTCAGGAAATATTGTTCTCAGTTTGTGTCTAAATTTAGCCTAAAATGTGTTATTTTGTAATTATGTTGTTTATTTGTTTACATTTTTTCCCTTTAGTCTGTAAAATTCCAAAATTTGCCCATAACGTCTTATTTTTTGTCTGTTTGATGTCATCATTTTAAAAATATTAGATCAGATGATACTCAGTACTCAAGTAGCCTTCTAATCAGATACTTTTTTTTACCCTTACTTGAGTAATAAACCCTATATCAGGAAAATATCATCCTCGGTTTGTGTCCTTCCAGTGAGCTTTGCAGATTTGGGAAAATGTCATCAGGCAGTAATCATTGTTAAATTCATAATTATTCTCGGAGAGAGACCAACTCTTATCTGCCCCTGGGAGCCCCGTAATGCATAGCGTCATTTCAACATGGGGGTGTCCGCGACATGGTTTATATGCAGGTAGCGGCGCTGCGGCTGCTTTATATAGCGACTCGTTGCATTCTCCCTCAACCCAAATCCTCGGATCATGCATTTTAGCTAAAATGCTAACGTTAGCTTGCCTTGCATTGACTGTAGAGTTGTGGGTGATGGTCACGCAGATGTGTCATGAGATTTGAAGCGTTGCTGCCTTTCACAGACACTTTTCCTGCACGTGCTGCAAACAGGATAGCCGTCTTCTATCAACTGTCCCTCTGCATTCTTCAAATATCCAAAATATGCCCGTACATCCCACTTTGTCTTCTTTGAGGGATAAAAAATGTCCTCTCGAGCACTGCTGTCTCCTCCTTTGGCCATTATTTCAGCTTTAGCTTCAAGAAAGTTTTGGTTGTAAACAACAACGTGCGCATGTGCCACCGGCAACTTCAGCAGATGATACGGTGGCTGGTAAGGGTCACCGCGCCTACACCGCAGCCATGGTAAACCCACCGAGATAATATAGTTTTTTGAAAAACAAGATGGTTATTATTATTGTCAACTTTTTTTTTACCGGGGTTTACCGCTACACCGGTTACCGTGACAACCCTACCTGATCGGTCTGCTTTGATCTATTTTGAAAACTCCGATCAAAACCAATAGGGGCGCTATTGGCCGATTACAATCAAATGCCGATCCATCGGTGCATCCCTAACAATATCGCGATATTGGTAAAAATATCAATGTAATTTCTCAGGGTGTAGTTTTGGGGGTTGGGATTCATCCAGCCCATCAAAGCCCCCTCTTCCCATTTTTAACTCTGATTAAACCAGGCAATTCCCATTACTGTGCTATGATTCTTCCTGTTGAACCCCTCTCTAACAATGTAACATTTACCTGGCATTCTGGTGTCCACGGGTCATGTATGCAAACCCAATACACCTGACTCACACACCCAACACACACCTGACTCACACATCCAATGCTGATAATGAAATCATTATGCAAAAAAGATTAATACAGCTGTATGAATAAGTACACCATCTTCGAATTAGAGCACCCACTCTTGTTGGTTTTAAACACACACACACCACACACACACACACACACACGCGCGTGTTCAATATCCCCGTAGTCACCCAGTTTGGCAAGAAAAGTGGGCATGTGCCAAAACCTGAACAACATTTAGAGCTTAATGAAATTCATACCACGCTATGGCAGCGATATGGACACGCTGTTCTACTGGCCACCATCAGGGGATGTGCATGGTTTCCATGGAGACAAAGAGAAGGAGGGTGAGTGAGTGCAAAGCTATTCTTCACCAATAACCAGAGTTGCACCGGGAGAGTATAACTCCTGCCAAAAATTAAACTTTATTTGCCTTTTACTAGAAAAAGGCAGGAGTGGGTTAGTCGTATCACTGAGGGCGGATTAGGATTACAGATTACACAGCTGCACATTTAAAAATACTTGTCAGACAACAGATAGATGTGTCAGATGGCCAAAGGAGAACAGACACAGAGAGGATGAGGTGGGAGGACATCCATGAGTTTGTGAGCTTAACCGAGCTGTGGACGGCGTTACTCCATCCATCACCCATACCTTATCTGTTGTTGGGGGAGGGGAGGAGGTGAAGACGGCTGCATGTCTTCAGTATTAAACAGAGAGGAGAGGAGGATTATAAACTCCAAAAGAAGGGAGCCTGCACTGATTGAGGAAATGGCCGAGGGTACTTTGGTCATCCTCCGCCGGCTTCAGGGCAGCTGGATTTATTCGCCCGAGCATCGTTCACCGGTTGAGAGAAGGCAATGTGTGTGTGTGTGTGTGGGGGGGGGGGGGGGGTTAGCCCAAGGCTGTAGTCTGCACCAGATCTGCCAACCTCTTTTTGTTTCATCATAAATTCATCATAAATGCACCTGAGCTGAAACTGACAAAGTGACTCAAATTGACATAAAATCACTGTGTTGAATTTCATTATTTTAATATTCTGACCTGATCGAGAGAGAGAGAGAGAAATGGAGGGATGTTTCTTGTCTGCCTGTCCATCCTTTAGCTTTTATCTCCACACAAGAGTTACAGAAACTGCCCATTTTTTGTCAGATATTGAGGTAAATATAAAAGATGTTGTAAAGTGACACTCCCACTTCAGCCTTCAGCCTCTCAGGGTTAAATATTATCATTTCCAGCACTCAAAACACAAGTTCAACCATCAATGATGAATTTGCACCTGCAGTTTGGTTCATACTTTTATTCATTTGCAGGGTTTTCCTGCATTTTGGTTTCTTTTCACACAGAAAACTGCAGACAAAGAACAACACATCTCCACAAATCAGGTGCAAATGCTGATTGGTCCGATTGTCAAGGGGCGGCGCTACCTGAGGTAAATACCAGTAAAAGGTGGGGTTTTCTGATCCTGAGCTAGCTGTCAGCACACTCTAACGCCCCTCCCTGAGCTGCGACGAGCTCCTCAGTATTTTTACGCATCAGAGTTTATAAATCTGTCCAAATATCAGTCAGGTCAGGTGATCGTCCAGGTGAGTCCTTGCTGCACTTTCAGCTAGCTAGGAAGGCCCTCCTGCATCTCAGAATGCTATACAAACCTACAGGAAGGTGTCTGGGTCACACTTCTGGGGTTGTGTCAAACAATCCAGGTGTAAATACAGCATCTGCTCATTTTTAAGGGTGACTTCAACCATCAGAGACTGTAAAACTAACCTCCAGTTCCATAAATAATCTTGTTGAGTTCTATAGCGGGAGGACATGGGGGAGAGAAAAGCTTCCTGTAAGGAAATCAAATGTTATATTATATTATATATTTTATAATATTATATTATGAAATTCACTTCAGGTTCATTTTTTATCACTTTGCAGCAAAATCGTTGTCATTTCTTGGTATTTGGCATAAAGTTAGTGAGATTTAATGTTGCTTTGATGTGAAAAATAAAACTTCTTAATAAACTTAACACAAAAAGTAAGGAAATCATGCATTAAGAATTATTTGCTGTAACTCGTAAACGTTGGTAGAGGTTGTCCAGGACCTGCCAATCAGGAGTCACCTGACTGAAACACACCTGGAAGCACCTGAAGCTGAAATCTACATTAAATATCAACACCCATATGTTTGGCTGTTCATAGTAAAGGTGACTAGTCCGGTTTTTCAGTAAAATAACATTTTTTTCCCCAAACATCTTGTTAACATAAATAATTAAACAGCCCAACATACATTTCTTTATGTTGCATGGTGAGTTGTAGGATTTATTGCTACATTTGGTGCCATCTTTTGTATGAAGGGGTGATTAGTTACAGAAGACAGTAATAAAAGGCCATGATTGACAGAAACACATAAAACCAGTGCAGAAATGCAGAAATTAGTGCAGCTAATTACTTCTGCTAGCTTGTTTTAGAGGGATTTCTTTACAAGTAAACAAAAATTAGATTAGTTTTAGTCAAACCTTTCCAATGATGTAACCTGAAACACCGAATTGGTGCTAAATGAGACACAAAACATAAAAATCAAATATGAATGCTGGACAGAGACAAATCAGACAGATTAAATCTGATTATCACAGCGGACTGATTTCACCCTCGTGTGCAATAAATCTCAGACAAAGAGCCGTGGGGCTTTCCTTCAGTGTTTAGGTTTTTTTTCTGCTTTTTCCTCTGTATCAGAATGTCCCTCAGACCCCTCCATGAATTATTCATCAGCCCCTCCCCTCTCACCCTAATCCTGCCTTTGTGATGTGGTGCCTCCGTGTGCCTCTGGGACCCAGTTTACTGCATCAACTGGACGCTGTCACAAATCTGAAGTTGTCCAATGATGCTCCTGCAGCAGATGAAGGTGTGTGGTGCTCTGAGGGTTAATACAGTGACCTGATTCTGCTGTGGCTGCTTTATAAAATACTGTTATCGTAGTGCATCCCATCATTACGTGTGTTCTCTGAGCATCACATTGAGAACCACTGGGATATTGGGATTCATTTTTACATCTTTATCCACCAAAATCAGCCTTTATTCTCTTAAAACTGATGTATTATAAATAATCATTCTCCTTTACCTCCTCTGATGAATTCATAAAGACCCACTTGTGTCTTCTACCCTCATCTAATTTAGCTTTATGCATTTTTTTTGTTATCAGTGAAATCAAATAAAGCTCTGCAGGTATAGTTTTCCCATCAGTCATCTTCCATCTGTCTCTTTTTGATCACCAATAAAAAGGTCCTTAGGATTTATAAAACTGGTATTTGCACCAATATAAAAGTTTGAGGTTCATGCTGTTCTTTTCACTGTCTATAAAATGTTAGATTATGAGTAATTTAGCAGATTTTAGCAGCCAGTGCTCATTAATATCTGATGAAGCTTCCTAACCTATAATCAGAGCCTCACTGACCTCCTTTCTGCTGCGCTCTGGGAGCATGCTATGGTGCTCCGAGAGGATGTTCTGCAGCAGCAGACCCAAATAAAAGCAATTACCGGGAAGCTTTGGCGTGATTTCGGTCTAGTTTCTTACCGTGCACGGACAGAGGGATCAGGTGCAGAGCCAGGACGCACGACAGCAGCGTTTGTCTCCAGCATCCCGAGCGTTCGCTCGCCTTCTTCTTCTCTCGCATCCTTATGGTGCAGCGGTGGTCTGACAGTCCGACGGGAGGGATCAAACCTTGGTGCTGGTGGCAGAGTTCGCAGATCGTGTAGAAGTATTCCGGGAAGGTGATCTGTTGGTGCGCGTGCAGTCTAGACTCCAGGCTCTGCGCGCTTCTCCTCCATAGCCGCTCGGTGTCTGCGTCTCCGCGCTCTGCAACAGTTCGGATCGCTGAGGCGGGTTTTAGGGATCCATGGCCCCCAGAACGGCGAAGAGAGGATCGGGTGGAGGTGGCGGGGGCTCGGTTCGGTCTGGATCGGTGCTTTTGGGCACTTTGTGGCTGAGAGGGAGTCACGCACGGCCGTGTGGAGCGCGCTCGGCAGCCTTCTCATCTGATGACAAAAATGTTGATGCCCCCTCCCCATCCCACCTCCCCCTTTTCTTCCCTCCCCAATTCTCCCAAGACACTTCCTCTTCCTCTCTCCATCTTCTCATAAACTACTCTCACACCTCTTGCCCATGTTTCCATTCCTCATTTTCTCTTCCACTTTTACTTCTTTTTTAAACCACTTCGTTCTGGTCCTCCTTAGTTTTACAAATTCCCCGATTTATTCCCCTCGGGCTTTTTTCAGTTATTTTAAGAATGAATTTTAAGTAATAATTCGTTTTCCTTCATCACGTTCACTTTTCCTTCCCTGGATCTTATTTCAGCCTAAACCTCATTTTTGAAGGTTCCCCCTAACTTTTTTCTCCTAAATTTCCATCCACCTTCGGACTATTCTCTCTCTCACAGAAACTTTTAGTGCACATTCCCCTTTGGATAACTGTTCATCCATTATCTGTCCAGATCGTTATTAAACTTTCCGTCTAATCCTAGAAAGTTCTCATCCACAAAGGGACACATCCCTGCTCTTCAAACTTGTCCAGCTCTGATCAGCTTCCTCCCCCTTCGCAGAGGTTTCTGGTCATGTATTCCAACAGGAGTTCACACTAAACTCGTTTTATGACATCAGAAGCACCATCAGCGTTTATGGTGACAGAGGTAGGCCAACAAAGGGGAGGAGAAGATGGAGGGAGGGGGGTCACCAGGGTGGGGGGTCTGCTCACATGGTGATGAATGTCTATAGAGCCCTGGGGGTAATGATGGGGAGTGGGGGGGGGGGGGGGTCGTGGGCATTCTTCCACACAACCCAAAAACAGCATGAATGAAGAAAGATGGGCTGAACAAAAGAGAGGGAGTGAGAGACTGGCAGCAAGAGAGAGACAGACAACGGGAGAGCGAGAGAGACAGAGAGAGAGAGAGAGAGAGAGAGAGAGAGAGAGAGAGAGAGAGAGAAACAGAGAGAGAGAGAGAAACAGAGAGAGAGAGAGAGACAGAGAGACAGAGAGACAGAGAGAGAGAGAAACAGAGAGAGAGAGAGAAACAGAGGGGGAGAGAGAGAAAGAGATAGAGAGGGATATGGAGATGGAGAGAGAGAGCGAGACAGGCAGACAGACAAAGAGAGAGAGAGAGGGGGAGAGAGAGAGAGAGAGAGAGAGAGAGAGAGAGAGAGAGAGAGAGAGAGAGAGAGAGAGAGAGAGAGAGAGAGAGAGAGAGAGAGAGAGAGAGAGAGAGAGAGTGTGTGTTCTGGAGTGTGTGTGCAGCAGCTGGAAGCAGCAGTAATACCAGATTTGTTTGGTTCCTCTGATAAAATGTTTGCTGTAATAAAAACACGTTCACTGAATTGTGAAAAGTGGGTCAAGAGGACGTTTGATGCGCTTCCATATTAAAAAATACACACTGCGGCTTTAAGAAATCATTCATGGATCCATAAAATTCCACAAAGTTATGCCGAAAAATCTGGAAAAGCTTGAAGAAAAGTGACCTCTGTGTGTGTTTTAAGTGTTTCTCTCTGTGAGATGAGCTGATGGCATCACTGGCAAGAACAACGATAAGTAATGTGTTAAAATCTTCATCATGTTTTATTCTAGACTCTCAAGTCGGGTTAAATCTATGATGATCTTCAGTGAAAGGCTGACAAAAAACTACTTAAAACTAATATTGTACAAATTACATAATCATGACATCATTGTTAGATGTGTGTGTGTGTATGTACACACACACACACACACATTTAGTTTTACGAAGACACACATGCCCGCACACACCCTGATCAGACATCTCTTCTGTCTGGAAATGTTATTTTCAGATTAATTCCTCAGATTTTTAGGATTAATGTCTCTTATGGTTGTGCTGTTTGGGGTCACGTGATGTTGTGATCATCCAGATGCTCCAGTAATACTAAACAGAGGTCAGAGGTCATCAACCCAAGCATTACAGCCATCTAATCCCTGCTGTGTAACCCACCTAACACATAGACACATATTAAAGGGAGTCATAAACAAGACCATCAGTTGTTTAAGTATCATTAAACTCAACAGATAATCAGATTCAACTCAATTAGACACAATTTTGAACCATAAATCTGACAAAAACATCCCTAAAATCTCTTTGACATGTACAAACGTGAAACTGAAACCATTTCCAGTACATTTCTGGAGTAAAATTTAACATTTATTCTTTTTTTTGTTATTCTGGCTGCATATTTTATCTACAAACTCACATCAAACCACCGCTGTCCTCAAATCCTCCAGATTGAGCATCAGGATTAGTATCTTCATCAGAAACCTGCCATATCCAGTCCTGTACACATCTACTGCCCCCTGGTGGAGGATCTAGAGGTGGTGAGGACCAGTTTTATTGCTTTGTATGGTTTAGTTATGAAGTAAAACATCTCGTATGAAGACAAACACCTGCAGCAGGAGATTAGCGATGACTGATGAAAGACAAAATCCAGAAGGTTGGTCAACATCATGAATCAGCAGTCATCACAACACACAGCGACTGCTCGCTCACATTTAAACCCTCATAAGCAAACAGCAGCATGTCTGTGAAACACATGAGCAGCTGTTAATCTGAAAACAGATAATATCTGTGTCACCGTGCTAAAATGGCATTTCTCACAGTCAGCTCAGTACACTCTGCTATACACAGCTGATGTGCCTTTAAGGGTATGTGTGAATTATTAGTGCACATTCTGCAAGTATAGATGGATATTCTGGTCCTAAAACAACTTTGATGTAAAAAAAAAGTTTCATATTTTACATTTATTTTTGGCAGAAATATAAACTTTTTAACAGAAATGTTGGAGGTAAAGCAGTGGTCCCTGAGGGCCTCCATCCCTGCTTCCACACATCAGACTCATCAGATTCCAGTCAGGCTCGTTGGAGCAGAAAAAACACGTTACATGCAGGATGGTGGCCCTCCAGGAGTAAGATTGGACATTGTTGTTGTATCACAAAAAAGTTACAGTTGGGATTACAAGTTTGCTTGTTTAGAGGCGGTTATCCTGTCAGTCAGGTAAGAATATTCACAGAGACGAACGACAAGTTAAGCAGAAAGGTGCTTAAAAAATCTGAGACTGATGTCAGTCCCCAAACACTGATCATCAGAAATGGACAATGAAGAATTGAAGGATGGTAAAATGTCCTGTGTGGAGCACCTTTTATTGTCCCAGAACTTCCGAGGATCTAACATGAGGATTATGTATTCATTGGGTCTGTTGGCTAGCATAGGACTGAGATAACAGATACATCAGGTGGATCAGAGCTTCACACCTCCTGACTGTTACGGGTGTTATGTAACCAAACAGACAATAACCGCTTGATCATTTCATTTGATTATGGAGGTGGATGCAGACAAAGACTGGGTGCCACATACTCTGTAACCATGGAGTCTGTGTTTCTACGGCAACAACCTCCTCCAACGAAAGAGAGAGGATATGTGGTGGTTTGTAAGCACACACGCAGGCAGATGTACTCGGACTAGTAAAAACTCATGGTGAAACAAACAGCACTTCCTTTTTGGATTTACTGCTTAATCTGCATCCCAACCCTCACCCAGAATTGCTGGACACACCTATAGACCAGGGATTCCCAAAGTGAGCTGCCACTAGGGGGTGCGCGAGGTGAAAAGTGTAATGGCTGCGGAGCTCAGAGAAGTCTGTCATATGTCACCATTAGCGTAGCCAGAAACTCATCTGTGGGTGGGCCAAAGAAAAAGTAAGTGGGCCCAATAAATGTAACTGAAAACAGGTATATTTTTGCGTGCGTGTCCTCCACATGTGCCCTAGCTTCATAATAACAATGTGCTGATCTTCAGCATTCTGGCCTGCGCACGCCGATATGTTCCATATTTGATCATTTTTAACAGTGTTGGAGGAATCTGAAGGTGGTGAGTCATTCTGGCAGATTGTAATTAACACCCTGTCTCATGCAGGTGTTCTGACATTGTAAACCTCACACACAGAACATTGTGGATGTAACAAAATAAATCAACAAATTATTCCCATTCAGGCTATTAACGGCGCGCTGACGATCTGAAGTTCAGAGTGCGTCTGTCAGAGGTCAGACGCGTTCCAGCGGAACCACGGCTCACGGGTGCACAAGTGAGCACATCTGGGCTGGGCAGAAGTAATTTTACAACATTGGTTTAAATAGCGCCAGTAACGAGACGCGGTCACTTGAGCGGCTGTGCCGCGCACGCGCACACACACAGATTCAATAAGCGCGGACGCTGCGTAAACTCCAGCGCGCCGTCAGACTGCAGACAGAAATGAGCGCGGCCTCCTCCGTGATAAAAACTTTTAAGAGGTTTTATAACAACATTTCAGGTCAAATTAAGATATTAGCTTCTATTTTGGGATGACGTATTAAAGTCGGGTCCGCTCCAGCAGTGACTCCTCATGAACCTGACCACAAGTCCTGTTACTGCCGCATTCCTGTCCGCGTGGCAGCGGATCGCAGATTCAGCCACACCATAAAACAGCAATAAGTCTGTCTGAGGCAAAAGTGAACCTCATGGCGTTTCCATCTTTTCCCATAAAGACATTTGATTACGCACAAGTAGGTGGCCAGCTCAGGTTTACGCAGAGCAGAAGGAAGGAGAGCGCTCTGGCCGCACAGGTTAAACGTTCCTACTTTAAGAAAACCGTTAAATTGCATTGTTTATGTGCTACCTGGGCACTCTAAACATTTATTTAAAATTAAAGCAAAGGAAATTGTAATGGTATCGAATGTTTATTAATTACTATTTAAAAAATGAAAGTGATGGGGAAAAAGGTCGATCATATTTTTTTAACCCTGTCTGTTTAGCTTGACATCGGATATATATATATATATATATATATATAGCCATGCCCTGATGTGGGGGCTGGGGGGGGGGGGGTGCGTCGATATGGTCGGGACATAGAAGGGGGTGCGCGGCTAAATAAGTTTGGGAACCACTGCTCTAGACAGTGGTGTCCAACCCTGGTCTATGAAGGTATATTTGGGGCAAT